TACTCCCAGTTGGTTTTCCGGTGGTTCTCTAAGTGATATCAGTTCAACAATCAAAGCTCTAATTAATTCATTCTCTTGTTACATAGAATATACACTGTCGACCATAATGCCTGTGTAGATGCTTAGACAATGTTTGATGAAAAAATTAGAAGGAAATTGTTGGATGCCGACTTCTAATTACTTGCCAAGACATCATCGAAACATTTGCACAAGAAGCCAAAAGAGACATCAACTCGAGACGGAGCACTTCGGTCCAATCAATCAAAGGTGAAAATCGAAAATTGAAATGAAGAGTTAACAGGACCTGATGCACAAGAGGCAGTAGCTCTCTTGTGGCCCAAGTGGTCTAGTGGGTAATGCTATGGCGTTTTAAACTATGGGCAGTGGGCTCCAGCCTGGGTGAGGGCGTCACCACTCACTGCGGAATGCAGGTACATCCAGCTGGTGGACGAGTCCTAAATAGGACGAAATAAGCGTTATCTTAGATTCGACTGCAAGTTCCTATCCACCAGTTAACTTCTAATAAACTAGGGATTAAATTTACGATTATACCAAACGGAAAGAAGTATTATAATAGCAATAATAATAATAATAGAGGTATTAGCGGTGACCTATTAATATAGATAACACATAAAACGTTTATCTCAAGTAGAATGTGTGCATACACAATTATGCTTGTACAAAATCTCTTGAAGAATATTTATTTTGCGTGTTTTCCTAGGACTAGTAGTAGGAGAAACACACAACAACATCAACAACAACATTACCAATAACAACAACGCGTTCTATTCACGTCAGTAGATGGTCAGTACAATACGAACGGACTATTGTCGTTCTTCTTGTTGTTGTTTTTCTATTATTCTTTTTTTCTTGTATGTGTTCCTTCCTTTATAAATGATAATTCTAAGTATTTTATTCTATGAGATAGGCTAAGATAAGATAAGATAAAATCGTTTATTTGCTGCTGATATCTTGTGTTTGAGAAAGATGGGAGAATTGAAAAGTTAGGGAAGAATGTATACACATATAGAATACAGGCAGTTTATCAGTAACACAGAAAAAATTTAACATATGCTGAGTTTAGAAATAGAAATTACTTGAAGCAGTCTTCTTTTTGTAACACAAAAAGCAGGATATATATTTATATGTTATAGTAAACTAGGGCAGAAACAGAAAATTACTCAATACTCATAATCGTATACATAGAAAACATTCTAAAAGATGACTGTCTACATCGCAGACCATTTGGTTGGATAGATTCAGTGGAATAATCATTGTATTCTGAGCAAAATTTTGAGTGAATATAAAATAATATGCCTGTAAAGAGTGTTGGGGATTCAGTAGGAGAACCGCCTTTCCTCGCCCATCCCGTAACCGTGAACTTAGCTCAGAGCTGGCTTCCCAGCTGATTCAGTCTTAAACCTCTTTTAGTTGGTTCTAGTAGTGGCAGTAGGACTATTGATGAGGGAAGGCTGAGCGTAAGGCTGGCAACTCTTTGCCACTTTAAGACTGAAACGTCACTATCAGTGAAAATGAGGAACTCAAGCTTGAAGCTTTATGTTCCATTTAGGATGCAGTACTCTCGGGTTTTCCAATGGTTCTGTAACGAATGTCAGCTCATGATGAAATCCTCTAACCAATCAATCAACTTTCTGCAAACCAACACTTGAATATCAATGAGCTGCTCACTAGCGACTTGCCCTATTCAGGCAGGTAGTTACTTGGGGTTCTAGTGAGAAGTCATGACCAGTAGGGTGCAGCTGGTAGAGTGTGAGGACAAATACTCGCTGAAGGCATTGGCTGGAGGGTCACTCTATGTCGTGAATTGGCAGAAGTTAGAATTCTCTAACTAATGTCAGCTCATGATGAAATCCTGTAACCGATCAAATCCCTACAAACCAACATTTAAATTAAATGAATCCTGTAAAAACTTAAGCTTCGATTAAAAATTTTCCGAATTATTTTCTGTAGAGGGTAAAGTGTTGACTGATTTTTTGTGGAACATTAAGGATATTTAGGAAAGCCTTGTTTATCTGAACTGTGTTGTATCTCTGTGAAGAGTAGCGAAATATATTTTTTTTAATTGAGATAAATGGTTTAATTGTGAAGCCTCCTTTATTCTTCTGGACATCATCTTCAATGCTAGAGAAGGTGACGATTGAGAAGGAAAGAACCCCAAAGACGTTTCGTAAAGTTTTATCACATGCGATAGGGATTGATAAAATAAACATTATAGGCGGCTAACTACTGACAACATAAGATCACATCGATTTAGAACGTCATAATAACCATAAGCAGGACCAATGCAAAATCGTAAAATATAACTAAGAACCAAATAAAATGTAACCAGGTAAGCTGGGATCCAAACTCTCTCCGCGAGAAACACACACCGAAAAAATTCTCTTAGACAGTCCAACGTCAGAATGACCTTGACTTACTCAAGCAAAACCATGGCCGTAGAACAACACACATTATCAATGTCATCATCACCAAAACTACAAAGAAAAGCATCAAAATTAGATATCTAAGAGACGTCAGAACAATGATGTACAGTCTAGTAGGGAAATCGATAATAATTAATATGACCCGTTGCACAAGAGGTGGCTCTCGAGGCCTAATTGGTCTAGTGGATAACGCTTTGGCGTTTGAAACTATGGGCACTGGGTTCGAGACTCAGTGGGAACACCATCACTCACTGAGAAATGCAGGTACATCCAGATGACGAGTCCCAAATAGGACGAAATGCGCTTTATCCTGGATTCCACTGCTAGCCACCATCCACCAATTGTAAATTAAGGAATTAGTTGAAACATCCAAATAGGTATCAATATTGTGATTAGATCATTCAGGAGTTCTAAGAGTAAGAAATTAAAGAAAAGAGTAATAAATATTTGAATACAAGCGGTTCAGGTAGCCGATTTAACGACAGTAGCACGACTGATAAGCAGTCAAAACTGATCACTGACTCAGTTCAAAGAAAGCCGTATTCATGAACTTGGATCATATACCTAATCAATGCTAACTAACTTTCCGCCTTTTCTTCATTACAGACTTTGAAAGACAGCAGAAACTTTGGCAATTCATGACTTTTAGCCAGACAGGTCTTCGTGTACAAAAGAAGTATTTACAATCCCTACTTCTGCCTTGGTCGTAGTGGGATAGACATTTATTTATTTATTTATGTATTTTGTTTATTTAGTTATTCTATGCACGTTTACCTTATTACTAAGATTATTATTGTTATTACTATTCTCACTCTGAATTGTTTCCACTTGTCATTCTAAACCTAAAAGTAATAATTTTTTCTATTTTATAATTTTACAATATTGAATTCAAATTTCACACCATGTTATGTAACATTTTATATTCGCCTACTAATCATATAACTCTAACTATGATAGTCTTCCCCACTCAACATAAGGAACAAGATTCGCATTTTCAACACCAACGTGAAGTCAGTCCTTCTATATGGATCAGAAACGTGGACTGCGTGTCACGAAAAGGATTTCAAACAGCCTGTTGCAGACTTTCATCAACAGCTAGCCACTTCACTGGCCAGCTCCATACTGCAGATCAACAATAAACTATGGAAACAAACCAACAGGCGAGAGCCAATCACTCGACAAATATGTAGGAGAAAGTGGAGATGCACTGATCGGGCATACACTGAGGAGGCCGCCGAACGACGTTTCACGCCAGGCCAGAACTCGAGTGGAATCCAAATGGAAAGCGACGAGTGGGTCGTCGGTGCGAGGTTGACATGGAGGAGATCGTGTGTGGAGGAAGAGATGAGAGAATCGGGTCAATCATGGACCCAGTTGTGGAGGACGGTAGAAAACAGAACAAAGTGGAGATGTGTTGTTGAAGCCCTATGTTCCACTCGGAACGCAGGGGAATAATAATGATAATAAGTATGGAGTGGTTTTTTTACATTCACAGTAATGATGGTAACAAATTATAAATGTTAAAATAACTTGAAGGATAGTAAAAATAGTAACATCTAAATAATAGAGATTTAAAAAAGCCATTAACCAATAGATACATGGAGGTTAATATTCAGATTCTGGGTTAAAAGACTGAGACCCTGAAGTCCTAGTGATACTCCATGGCCTACAGAGCACCCTAAACTAGGGTGAATGGTCATTCATGATGCTCGGGGAGGCTTCGTGTGCTCTTGGAAGTGTATGGGCGGCTTTTACTTCCCGGCTGCCAACACCATAGATATTGGTTGATTCTTCGCTTACCTGAAATAGAAACACAGTAAGTGCTGCGTGATCGTAGAGCCCAGGGGACAACAGCTTGAGGCCGTACACACACGGCCTGTATGGACATGTGTTACGTCTGCCTAGTCATCATCTTCTCAAACTGACAGGCAATGTTAGCTGACATAAGGTCAAACTGGAAAAGAGCTAATGGCGGTCAAACCAAAACATGGCACCAGTCGATGACATACACAACAGTTATTTTCAGCCACGTAGACTTCCTAACTGGTTGATGTCCTCAAGACGGTAAAAGCCAATGGCTAGAGACAGTTGGTGATATAAATCAAAGTCGTTCTCAGTGACGCAGATGCACCCACTCCTTGTGACTTATAATTCACAATGAAACGATATTGTTCTTTACCATTACTATTCCTTTTATCTCATATGCCTGTCTACTGTCTCTATCATGCCTTCTTTCTACTTTCTTCTCTTGCTTTTTGTGCTACATGGAGGGAGTGTGGCGACTTGAACTGCTGCACATAGGTGCAAAATTCTTTGTTGAAAACAAACAGAAATGGTCATTGGTAGGTGAGATTTTGCGGTGGCATTGTGATACGCTGAATTCCAAGCAGGAGGCGTGATAACTTGAAGAACTTGTAACGCGAATACAATGAAAACAGCTTATATGTTTATCGATATAACACCTCAGAAAACTTCCATAAACTTATTTGCCTTGCAAATTTACTGTTTTGCATTCATTTAAAGACTAAATACAAAGATAATATATGTCGAACTTACTTTAATTCTACTTTCTTCTGAGTATGAACAACATTCATTGTTTGGATTTATTGCTATAGAAGTAGGATGTTCTATTTCATAATTCGATTTGATAATATCACTGTCACTTTCCGTTTTTATACTACTACTCAAGGATTCATCAACTGTTAACAGATCACCAGATGAATGTGTATCCCAGACTAACTGTTTCAAGTCAAAATAGAATGATGACCGTAGAAATCTTTGATAGGAGTCTTTATTCATTAAACCTTGAATTGTTTGTTGAGCTATTACAAATGATTCATTCGTTGGATTCGATAAGCCAGAAATTGTTCGATTACGTGTTTCAGAATCTAAATTTACCTTGAATGAAAACAAAACAAAAATAAAAGAATTAATTGTTTCATTGTAAATCAGTTTTAGAGGAGAAGTTCAGCTTTTAGTCATGAAAAAACCATCGTACAAAATTCTTGCGAATTCCCGGCATTTCAAAGGCATGTTTCGGGCAGATGTAGCACTCACTAGTCACACAGGTAAACATCACAATTAGTTGGAAAGGTGAGTCAGTGCTATTCAATATTTTCAAGTATTGGTTCTGTAGGGATTTTGTTTGATTGCATGGAGGATTTAATCATGAGCTGACATCAGTTAGAGAACAACTGGAAAACCTGGAAGTACTGTACAGCTGTCTCGTGAATTGGCAGAAGTTAGAATTCAAGGACCATTGGATCGGGTCCCAGTGGCTCAATGGTATACGAGCTCACCTTGTAACCAGAAGGTCCTGGGTTCGAATCCCGGTGGGTGCGTACTGATGAAGAGTCCAAAACTAGGACGAAACAGTTGTCCAGTACTCCCAGGTTTTCCAGTGGTTCTCCAACTGATGTCAGCTCATGATTGAATCCTCCATGTATTCAATATTTGGTTATTTCTGGAGAAATCTTTTCACTAGATTATTTTTCAAGTGTTGGTTTGCAGGGATTCGATGGTTGACATTAGTAAGAGAACTACTGGAAAACCTTGGAGTACTGGACAGCTGATTCGTCTTAGTTTGTGACTCTTCAGCAGTACGCAGCTACCGGGGTTCGAACCCATGACCCTCTGGTGAAATTCATACTATATTTGACATATTCTCTACCAGATAAATACTGATCAGTCAACGAAATGAGGTAGAAGAGTGCAGTTTCGTTGTCATTTTGAGAATATCTACCTGTTTCACAGTCTTGATAAATTCACAATGGATTTATTCCACAGTTTCAGCGTGTGTTTTTTTAAGGTGAGCACTATAGTAGTGAGCCATAGAAGTTAAGATTCATTTGCTAACTCATAAGCTGACTAGTATAGCATGTCCGTCTGATAGTATTACTGTTTCAAATTTAATCATTGTAAGTCTTATGAGACCGTGATTATAACAATTATCAAAAAAAAATAAGGTGGACTATTCAAACCGGGCCACCTCAAGCAAAGGTGAGCAATTCAAGTGAACACAAAATTATGTAGCATTTCGTTACTTGGTTATTAGTTAGTTACTTAGTTAGTTAGTCACAGGTTAGTTAGTTAGTTAGTCAGTTATTTAGTTAGTCAGTTAGTTAGTTAGTTAGTTAGTCAGTCAGTTAGTTAGTTAGTCAGTTAGTTAGTCACAAGTAAGTTAGTTAGTTAGTGATCACACTTACTTGAGAAATTTTCGAGAAGGTTTTAAGCAAAGTCATATTCATAATATAGGAAAGAAACAAAAGAAAGTTGACTTACTTCACGAGGTGAATGAGGAGCTAGATAAAGTTTGTAGATTTTTTGGGATTCCTCGCTTAACAGCGACGCTGGTAAATGCTTATACAATTCACAAATCACCCAAAACTCAATATTTTCTTCACTGTATTCTGATTTCAGAAATTGATGAAATTGCGTTAAACCATCTGTAGAAAAGAAAGCGTAAATTGTATTTTGATTAAAATGCATATCATAAAACTTTAAAGTAAAAAGAAAAGAACTCCGTAAAGCATAAAATACTACTTCATATTGTACAAGTACCATTCAACATAAACAACAGACATGTCAACCAGTAGGCGTAGAAACCATTACGAATCCTTAGTAAAATATATTCCAGTTAAGATGTGGTAGAATGAAAACGTCAATGCTGAAATTATTTTTACTGAAACTTTTTTTCACATCATGTTTTTATTTATTTTTAGTGAAATCAAATGCGATTTTATTATGCGTTTAAATACTATTCGGTGCTATTCCGACTCCTCCGCTAGAGTACATATCCTCTGTCAGTGGATTCTGAGACAATTTGGAATACTACTGTTTACAAAACGCCCAATGGATGAAAGTGAAATGACACTGTGAAACTCTGAAAGAACAAGACAAGCACTCCGTTGTTCTACTAGATCTGCAACGACAAATGCATACTAACTACGACATTATTTCATATGAGACAACTTTGTGTGAAATACCGAATTATTATAAGTTATAACTAAACTGGTATTTGAACAAAGCAAGAACAACAATTGTACCACGATAATATGAGCTCATCTTTTATTAATTTTTCGAGGATTCTTCTCAACTGGTTACAACCTGAACGTTAAAAAATATGAATAACATTTAAGATATGAAGATACCCTTCCACGATCATAAGGAGTAACTGGTAGGAATTAAAAGTAACATTAGTCCTGAATGATTTAACTGATTAGGAGTTACAAACACTGACTATTTATAGAATAATTAGACAATTAGGCTTGAAAACAAAAGAAACAGGGTTGCGTATATATATGTGTGTGTATAGAAACAAGGTTTAGCTAGAAAGAGCATATCAAAAAAGTAGATTACGTAACTAAAGAAAACGTCTTATCTAATAAGCAATAGAAAAAAGGACAGAAAAGAAACGAGGTAGGGTGAGTTATGTTTAGATGAGAGAGTAGAGTTTTCTAAACATGAAAAAGGTGACTCATGAAAGTTGTATATTTTTTTTGTTATCACCAGACAAACTTCTATACCAGGTATATCGATGACACTTTCGTTATTTAGAATTCCTTCAATGATGCATCTCAAGTATTGAAAGTCTTGAACAGCACCCACCCTAATATTAAGTTTACAATGAAGTATGAAATAGAGGAAAAGTTCCATTTTGTTGTTGTTTGAGACAATCAAAGTGGACAAATACCCACCTCATGTTACCTCCAACTGTGTCTACTAATTTACAAGTACGTACCAAAGCACATATATTGCAAGAACAGAGAGAAAGGTTATTGTCCTTATTTCCGAACACATACCAAAGATCCTGAGACTGAAGGGTCCGAAAGCAATAAACAGTGCAATTGCTCGTCATCTTTCGGACACTGGTCATAATGTAGACAACCTGAAGTCGTTCAAAATAATCAACAAGCAAAAGAAACCTAACTTGCTACGCTTCATTGAAGCAATTACCATCAAACAACTTAAACCGAATGTATGTACGCAGAAAGAGAGAGACAGTGATGAATCTTGCACTGCCCTGTTGATGACAAAAAATATTCAACTTTCATGAGTCACCTTTTTCATGTTTAGAAAACTCTACTCTCTCATCTAAACATAACTCACCCTACCTCGTTTCTTTTCTGTCCTTTTTTCTATTGCTTATTAGATAAGACGTTTTCTTTAGTTACGTAATCTACTTTTTTGATATGCTCTTTCTAGCTAAACCTTGTTTCTATACACACACATATATATACGCAACCCTGTTTCTTTTGTTTTCAAGCCTAATTGTCTAATTATTCTATAAATAGTCAGTGTTTGTAACTCCTAATCAGTTAAATCATTCAGGACTAATGTTACTTTTAATTTCTTATGATCGTGGGGAAGTATGTGCATACCTTTAATGTAACTCATATTTAATAAAAGATGAGCTCATATTATCCTGGTACAATTGTTGTCGTTCTTGCTTTCTTCAAGTTTTTTAATAGGAATTAGAGTGGCATGAAGTTTTTAAACTGGTATTATATTAGTGTATGATGCCTAAATACACCTAATTAGATAATTTTTAAAAACTGTTTTTTAAATGAGTCATCACGTAGATAATTTTTTGAAAATAAAATGTATTAAACAGGTGTTTATTCCTAATCTGCGATGATTTATTGTAGACGAACCTATAAGTCGGCTACACATATAATCCTAGGCCTACAATTTACAACAGAAGCGCACGTATCATTCACTCATTGCATTCAAATCAAAAGATGCCTAAATTCTAACTTCTAATAATATGCCTTGAATTGCTTCTATTTAACAAATGTTATCTGCCATTCTTGTTTGTCATATCAGAGTTCATGAGTCAACTGACCTACAATGGAAAACACAGCAAAGCCTATTAAATGGAGACAAGGGTAATACACAGCTGCATACTATTGTAACAACAGAAGACAAGGGCCAGGCAACAGATCGTTTTATTATGAAAATCAACACGTATTTATACATATTTCACATACATTATTATAGACAAGCGCAGTCATCTGATTGGTTGTTTATCAGAAGTTAGGCAGACAAACGCAGGCTTCTGATTGGTTGTTTCGGGATTCCTTGACAAATAGAGTTCTCTATCTGCGAATCATATTTTGCCACGTTAACTTTGCTGTGATTGGTTGTTGACTCAGCCTTGTTCATATTTTCTCACGGCCCATATTAACGTAGATTAGTGTCAACCAATCGGCTAGCAGCCTGCTCTCACCACACTATCACTTATAATACTCTTAATCGTGGTTGACTGGATAATGCGTAAGATTGTGGCTAGCAAGAAGACAGAAATACTCTAAACGACCGCGATATGAAGACTCTAGAAGGTCTGAACTTTGCATGTGGATGATTCATGTCTAATGTTACACAAACTCGAAGACTTAAAGGCAGGTGAAAACCTACAAACTGGCAGTATAAGTAGACAGGGAAGAAAAGAATTCAAGTAAAATCACCATAAAGAATGACATCATGTGTTAGGCTATCACTCAAGTGGAACTCCAATGAAAAAACAACGAACTGGGTATCTAAGGATTACAGTGAAGAGATCATGTGAAGAGGAGGTAAGGACCTACTGGCAATCGTCGACTCACCTAAAGATGACTACAGATAACAGAACAAAACAGAGAAGCCCTATGTTCCATTTGGAGCACAGAAGAATAGTAATTATAATGATTAATTATTATATATCATCCGAAACTCGAAATTAACTCACATAATTATTCATGTTGTTTTAATTTATATATTCATGTAAAACTTGCAATTATATTGAATAAACTGCTAATAGAGTCTTTCAAACTATTGTTGGTATTATTCATTAGCTCTTTGGTGACAATTGCACAAGAAAAACTGAAAGCCAGCAGTCTATTAGCACTTCTGAACATTTGACGATGACTTTATGTGTTTAAGGCTCAGCTTCGGACAACAGCATCATTCCTCGGCATCTAGCTGATACAGGACACCAGATTAACATCTCAGAATCATTTAAGGTGGTGCGATCGCTATCACAATAACCAGAATTATGTATTAAGACGACACCCTTGCTAAACTATCATCACTACCTCGATAACTACTAACTGCTTCACTTTTTATGAAGAAACGTTGTATTTTTCATTAACACGTTACTTGTCATTGTATTTTTTCACCAATAATCCTCTTTCTTTTCATCGTAGTAACTCTTTATGTGATTATATAACCAATTTCATTTGTTTTTACCAGTTTGACAGTGGATTGATATCAGTTAGAGGACCATTGAAAACCAGTCACTGGGAGTACTGCCAGACAACTGTTTCATCGGCCTAATTTCGAAGTCATAGGCAGTTTGCATCCACTGCCAGGGTTCAAACCCAGGACCTTCTGGTTACAAGGCAAGCGAGCTCGTACACCACTCAGCAACTGGGCCTCGACCTGAATCAATGGCCAGCCCTTGAATTGTAACTTATACCAATGTGTGATTTTAGCACGATCACCAACTAGTGTTAGCAGTAGGAAATTCATCCTCACACCTGACTGGATGGGCCTTATTGGTCACGACTTCAAGAACTAGAACTCCAGGAAACTCTGTCCTGTAGCAAGTGACGCTAATTCACGAATTCGTAGAAGTTAGAATTCATCGACTGGCCACTGGATCGAAGTCGCAGTGGTTGAATGGTATACGAGCCCACCTGATTTGTAACCGCAAGGTCCTAGGTTCTAACCCTGACAATAAGTGCCTACTGATGATAATTCTCAAACTAGGCTGACGAAACAGTTGGCTGTCCAGTACTCCTCGGTTTCCAATGTTTCTCTAACTGATATCAATCCGCTGTGAAACTCATAAAAACTAACCTAATCCTTACGAACCAACTCTTGAAAATTTCATTTGTGTTTCAATTCACCTGCAAAAAAATTTAGAATATTTCCCTCCTTACCGCATAAAATATTTCTATTTTTGTCATGAATGACTGACTGTTCTAACTTTGTGTATAACTGACACAACATCTGAATTTTCTAGTATTTTATGAGATAGACTCTTATGAAATTAAGTGGCTCTTCACCATAATACCGTTTAAATTATTTCATTATGTCTATATATATATATATATATATATATATATATATATATATATATATATATATATATATTTGTATATATATATATATATATATATATAGCTAATGAAAACTCGTTGATATAATAGAATGAATTAATCTTATCCCGCAAACATTATTCTCATCCAGCTGCAAAAGGTTTTTCTTGACAGAAATAGTCGCATAGATTTATTAACTTTTACCCCTGATCATTCTTTATTTTGGAAATATACATGTAACTTGAAAATCGCCATTCAGTCATATGAAAGAAGAGGTGTTCAGCCAAGAGACTATTTTCGGCGAATTCATTCACTGAGCTGTACAATTGCATATATATTCAACTTTGTTTGTGTGTGTGTGTACA